TATATATAAAACACTTGAGATTCATTAAGATTTTATAAATTGCTTAATGAAAGCTTTCCTTAATGATAATCTAAATTATTAAAGTTTTAGCATAAATATTTCTGAAGAAAAATTATGAATTTAAAATTTAAACTTTTCTTAATATTCTATAGATTGAGCAATTTGACTGATTCATTCGTTAATTAATAGCTTATTTTAAAATATCTAAATTATAATATCCTACTTTATAATATCTTATTTCGATATATTATTACTATCATATTAAGGTGATCGATCATTTACTTTAATTGTTAGCAAAATAAAATTCATTTTATTCCTCGTATTAATTCTATATATTCAAATTGTATTGAGAATTAATGGAAGAAATAAAATGAATTTTATTTTTGATAATAATCAAATTATCTATTCATACAATATCATCATCATCATCAAATATTCAGTATGGTACATTATGTTATTTAAAAGATTTCGACGATGAAGGAGTTATTGAAGTTCGATCATTAACAACAACATGGTGTTATGAGGAAACATTTGGTCAAGGCCTTGGTTAATTTTATCAAATTATATTCTTTTAAAATTTTATAAAAATAAACAATCCTAAAAGCTAAATGAATCACTCAAAAATTACCATAAAATTTTCATCAAATCTTCTTTCATCGATTTTTTTATCAAAAAATAAATCATTCAATTGTTGTTGTTGTTGTTGTTGTTGTTGTTGTTTATTTCAACAAAATGAACTGGAATAATTTTTAAATATTTTAATTTCTTTTTTTAAGTATTTATTAAACAAAAACAAAAGCAATAATATTATAGATTTTATAAACAGACGTGGTTTTATGTTAGGAAATGAGAGAATTCCGGATGGAAAAATATGTGCATATAGATCGAAAACCGATATTCGATATTTCAATAATACAATGTTTGCGTATTGTTTTATGATGAAATCAGATAATCGTTATTTTTTTTTTAATTCTTCAAATGCTTTCATAATAGATATCACTGCTATTATCATTAATAAAAAGATGCCGTAGTGATAAGGATGTAAAATTATAGAACTACCATTTATATATCGTAGTTAGAAATGATAAATTTCGATAGAAAAAATAATTCGCAGAAGATATTAATTATTAATTAGAATTAATTATTCAATAACTGAATAATAGAAAGTTCAGTTCAGATTTTATTTTATTTGAACTGAAAACTTTTCTATATAACTTACATATAGTATTATCATTAATAATAAGTAAGATTGTTTTATTTGAAGAAGAAATATCAGCGATTTGTTGCTGCTCCTCTATTATTGATAAGCCGTGTAATTTTATAAGCGAAAAATATTACATATCAAAAACTAATGTATATTATACCAGAAAATCTCTACAGGTTAGCAATTTCAATTAGTACTTATTTTTTAATTAATAATAAACATGAATCATAATATTTTTGGAATGATAAATCTTTTATCAACCATCTCTTATCACTTTCAATTATCATTATAATACTACTAATCATCTGCGCCATTTTGTCATCCAGTATTTATTATTTGTATGGAATTTCTTCAGATGTCATATATTCTTAATAGAAGAAAGTCTTACAAAAGTTAACATCGTTTTTTTTTTTACAGGTACGGCATTATTGCTTATCATTAGATGGTAAACGTGATATATGTTTCATGGGAGAGAATCATAAAGTGATTTGTTATTATGTTGCTGATATGAAGAATGGAATTGTTCAAGGCGGATGTGTTCTATCGTTGACGAAGAAATCTGAACGTCATAAACTTGCCAATGTTTAAGTGTTTTCTGCATTTAATTTAATTGCTTGCATTTAATTATTCAAGATCATGTTGAAGAGGAAATTGAAAAGGTGAAATTGAAATCTGAAGCGATGAATGTTAGCTGTTGAATTTTCAAAAGTTAATTCAGATTATGAGAGAAATATCAATATCTGTTATTTACAGATTTGTTTGATTAGAACATTATACAATATGACAGTACCGATACAATTCTTACATTCAGCTGAAGCAGCTAAAATTTTCTGTTGTGCCGGAAGGGATGATTGCAAAGAATCAGTGATGGAAATGAGACGTTTTAAGAGGTAACGTTCCACATTTCTTTTGCATTTTACATCACATGCAACAAAATGGATAAAATACAAGTGTAGACAAATTCTTTTTCCATTAATCATTTTCGTATCCATATTTTTCATCGCGATCTAATTGTACAAATTTAATAATAATGCTATGATAGTACTGATTGTTAGCATATCTAACCATTATAATATGAGCAATCTAATATAATTCAACCTATTTTAACAGAGACTTTTAATCACTAATTAATATTTGAAAATATTTACTTTCAGACTTTTCGAAATGGGACATTTCAAAAGGGTCAAAACTTTAAAGGAGAAAGATTTCACATTTATTGCTTCTGGCTAAAATATTAATCACAAATTGCGTTACCGTTAACTTCTACTTTCAGTGTTTGATGATCCAATCTTAATATGAAATATAAATCGTTCTATAACTTCAAATTTCTTTGGCTGATTTGTTATGCAGAAATGTGACGAAACATTTTTCTGTCAAACTTTGATAAATAAATTATCTTTCACTCATTGGCTATAAAACATATCGTAAACCAATGCGAAAAACATTTCCTGAAGAAGCCACAGACTTTTTCAAGAAATGTTTTCCTTTCGGAAATTTTGGAAGAAGTCATCATGTGAACCAGACTGGGTAAATTTTCAATCTTGTTGTAGTTCAAAATTCGATTGGTTGCTATTCTCCTCCGCTTAATAGTTTAAACACTTATTGGTAGCAAAAAACTCCAACATTGCCTAAAAGAAAATTAAAATTTTCTTGCGGCCTTTGATTCAGATCCCTTTCGCTGCTACATGAATTTCACCTTACATTGCGAATTAATCCTTCATTCCTTCCAGAGAGAGGTCGTGCATGCGCAACACTATGCAGCTGCAACCATATATGTTAGAAAGGTCCCTTCATTAAAAACGCACCGTATTATCTGAATCACTTCCATACTATCATTCACTATTAGTGTTCAAATTACTGCTAAAATTTTACATCCAGAAAAGGCAGAGTGCAACAATTACTCCGTGGTTCTTACGACAAAATAAGGTCATTTTTTATCGCTTGGTAATAGTTTGGTACTGGATTTTGTATAGAAAAAGAATTAAGTAGATCCATAAAAATCATACATTTCCATTCAACTTTTTTAAGCAAGTACAGCTCAGTGCAAGGTCCAAATCAAAAAAATGAAAACAAAATCGTTCTGCTTAGAAAGCCTTGGAGGAAATTAAAGAATTATTCTACGCTCATAATACTAATCTTGGAAAATGATATCTGTGAAATCCTTACTCCAAAAAATTTTTCGTCTTCACATTTTAAAGATATAATTTATAAAGCGCCTTTAATCTTTTCTCCCACAATATAATCATAAACTAAGAAGCCTACATGTCTTATTAAATCTGACTTGAAGCAGGAAGGAAAATCTGTTGGATTTTCTAAATATAATTCATAATTTTGAAGAATTCCATAATACAGACATTAATGACTTGATAAAAATTATAAATTCTAATAAAATGATAGATACTACTCAGATAAGCAAATGATTTAATTGATCATTCATAATGTCACATGCTCAAAGTATTTAATTTAACCTAATTTGTAGTAACAATCACAAATAAAAAACTGGAACTCGACCTGATTCTTTACAGGATAACCTCCGGAAATTGATTCTTTGAACGAGGGTGAATAATATTTTTATGATTTAAATATTCCAGTAGAAAATAGATTGCTAAATAGTGAAAAAAAAGAGAAACACATCCAATAGAACAGGTCAATGGAGAAAACAAGAAGCTTCTAAAAAAGTATTTAACAATCATTCAGGAGAAAAAAGGATTCCTAAAAGATAATAACAACATGGCTCAGAATGACGAAACAAACCGATACCGAAGTATATTAAGAAGAGATATGAGAAAGAATAACTTTGTAGTTTGGAGGAAGGAAAGCAAGTTTGAAAATTTGAGATCTCCCATCCAGAGAATGTATCCATCTTACCCTACCAACATTCAGAGCAAATGTTATTTGAAGAATAAATGACGAACATTTCAATTTCAAGTCTTCAAACATCTGAAACTTCTTTTTTCACTTCCATTGGTGCAATAAAATGAATTTCCGGAATTTGCCCTTCGTAAAGGCAACCTTCGGAATATATTGGCGCAACATTATTGATAGGCCGATTGTAGAATCCACCTGAAAAGTATGTTGAGTCCAATTGCAGATAGAATTTCCTAATACAAAATAAGAGGGACAAACATAAATTTGTCCGAAACAGGTGGATCATACCGATAGCATCGGTGTACACAGCAGGACCACGTGTCATACCTCGACGTATACCATTTGGGTCATCGTTGTGAAAGGCGAAAACTGCCACGGAAGACTGGTCAACTGCTGGAGTGGTACCAGTACAGTTTTGTTCAATTGCACCGCCGGATCCAACATAAACAAGGATATCTTCCTGCCCATTACCTCCCGCAAAGGTTTCAACTTCTTCCTATAACGTGCTTTTTACATTAATTTAAATAATAATGCAGACTTTCACAAAACTAATACCATATAAACAATGAATCTCAAATAAGTCGATTTAATTCAATTAATCGTAGCCACCGATTTCGATTTTTGAATCTTAAACAAATGAGAAATTAAAAAACCAAACCTTGAATACCACCGTTGCTCTATACGGTACGTTGGCTACAACTCGTGCAGGTTTTTTAAAGTATGCAATGAACGCACGTCCATCACCATATGTACCTTTCAACGTCGCAGATGCAAAATCAGTTGCTTTTGCTTGGCCAGAAGCTGCTACCTACCAAATATTTATATTTCTGAGGGTAACAAGGATAATTCTAAAATCCTAAAAGTAAAACCGCAGAGGTAGTTTCTCCACATGCTCATGTCGCAAAAGGCTGCCAAAATTAATGTTTAAAAGAGAAATGACAAAATTTGACCCAACTACGCTTATCAAAATGATATATTTTCGTTACTTCGTGTCGAATATAGTAACACAAAAATCAGGATGGAATGAAGACCATAATTGCGATCTGCGCAAAAATAAATGAAAATTCCCCACTTAGCTTCTTTTCAAAATAATTTTTTTAGAAACTTATGAAAAGATTCCTTTATAACTGGTAAAAATTTTTACATAGGAAAGGACACAGCGACTGGCATTAAAATATACGGGTTTTAAAGTGTATGACGACAGCATCTCAAATAACTTGCTTGGAAATCACTAATTTTCAATTATTGAAAGCATTTCACGTAGTTGACAAACTTTGTTCTTTTGAGATAAAGATGCACACACTCTCTTTAGCTAATGCCATTGAAATGCAAACCAGACATCACTCAAAAGATTTCTTAAATCTAGATCAGAATTACGATGGCAAATGTCTGCACTATCTAAAGACGACAACGGTCACAACAGCAAGCGTGGATCTTTATGATGCAGAAGATATTCTATAAATCCGGAAAATTTTTTGGAAGTTCTTGATAAGAATTATCATTAATAAATATAATAATAAAATAAACTGATTTCTTGATTGGAATGCTATATATACATATATAAACCTCAACATCAACGGTCGTTTCCCATTCGGTGCCCTCAGCATTCGTTTCATTCTGTACTAAGCCATATATACCAAGCGCTGTCACCAGTATTTCGCGATTCACAATGAACCTTGAATTTTTTATAAAACAAACATTTTTTAATATATTAAACCGTAATCACGTTAATATATGTATATGTATATATATTATTATTGTCATCGTTATTTTATTATAATGTCATTACTATCATTATTAACATTAATATAACGGTTGTTATCATTATTATTATTATTATTATTATTATTATTATTATTATTATTATCATTATTATTATTATTTTTAGTACCATTATTATCATTATATTTTTTGCACTCTTTTCTCGAGAAGCAGTTTCAAGATTTGCACAAAAACGAGTAATTTTTTATATTCCATTTTCAATCGCTGGAAGCAGTAATCCACTTGCCATGATCACATTATAACTTCTAAAACTGAAGATTTTCCTTCGAACCTATAGCATACATCCCGAAACACCATACTTCAGAAAACGAAAGACAGAATGAAGAAAGAAAGGAACACGGAAAAAGCAACACAAGAGTGAGACTTAAATTGAATAGGCTATAAAATAGAAAAATGATACGGTTGGATGTAATATGCTAACCAGAAAAGCTAAGGAAATCACGCAAAAGAAGATTCTTCTTTAATTGTGTTTAGGAAAATTTACAAATGTTATCTCGCCTATGACTTCTAATACTAAGATAATCTACTAAAAAGCAAGACTTCACTTGGACAATAATTTAAAACATACCAAATTGTACTGCGTTGCTTTTTGCATGTGTTCTTATTCAGGTTCATGAAACGTCGCACCACGTATCGCGATCGACTCAAAATTCTCCGTTCTAAAAGTTAATATTTTGTCGCGAAACTTTACATCACTATTCCACAAAAACCAAAAAAATGGCCTTTCATATCGTTCACATACACATTGTTTTCATTTGTAATTCCGCTTACCATGTGTGGGATAGGGCAAATCGATACCCACATGAACCGTGGATGTTACGTAACGGAAGAGAATACCAATTTCCAGATCACTCAAAAGACCAGAGTTCGCTGAAAACAATGAAAACTTCATTTATCTCAAAATAAATTAAAAATTTTAGCAAGTTTAATATGTTAATAGAAAATGATTGCAGAATGCGGATGAAAGAAATCTTCACAACACGAAATTTAGATTTACATCTTCTATCATTCTGTTCCATTATTTCTTATAACTTATTTGTTTACCCGCCCATTTTAGGACTCAAAATTCTGTATTTTTCCACCTGCTTCACCCAGTTCCTCAACGGTCATCGTCGGGAAGCGTACATCATTGAGAACATCGCCAACAACAAGGCGTTTGTTTTCTGATGTTTCATCAATTCCACGACGTTTACATTCCTGAAATTAATGATTTTGGTTTTTCTTCAAAAATCCTGAAGAATAACAGCTAAATATTCCTCTGCAATAAGTTTTCACTGGTGAAAATAAATCCAAAGATTAAAATGTACCGCTTCTGCCCAATTGAACACTGCTTTGAAAACTGACAATTCTCCCGATGGGGATAATTCTGAACGTCTAACCAATTTTTTCAAAGTTTCAATATTGATAGCGGTAAGTGCTGAAAAACAAGAGGAGGTAGAGAGGAAAAAGAGAAAAGTGAGTAATACATTTTTTCTTGCAAGAAGTTGTGCAAAAAGGCAACACTTTCGATTTTGATATTGCAGAATTAAACTTAATAGAGCTCAGTTATGACATTTTGATTTAACTTAAGATTATTTAATAACTTTAAGAAAACAATAATTTAAAATCATTGTGACAACATCTTCGTGAGAATTTCATGAAATATTTCAAAGATTTACAGTCCGATGAAAGTGCTTCGTCGCTCCGTTCATCAATAACTTGATAACATCGATCTAGTAATTCCTCTGAATCAAAGTTAATCGCCTGTTCCAAAAGTGCGACTGCTAATGACGGTGTCAATTCACCGAGCAGTTCAACACACTGTTTTTCTAATGCTGCTATTTCGAATTTTTTTGCTGTAATATGGTACTTTAACTTCATTTCATTCAATAAAAGCAAGAAAACTGCAACAACAAAGTTATATTTGAAATAAAAATGAGTTTCACAAATACCTACCAGCATAAAGTGTATTGAGTACAGCTGATTCTGGAATTTCAATCGCAGTTTCGTCGAAATCCGAATAAATATAATCAATAATTGTTTGGAAAGCAATTGGATCAACATCAGAGAAGTGTATTGTAACTATCGGACAGTTCAGATCTGCTATAAAAAAAGTTTTCGGAAACATCAAATCAGGAAAATTCATATTTTTAATCCAAAATACCAATAGCTATGAAGTGAACGATGTACACTACTTTGAAACTACAAGTTGAACATTAAATAAAAATTGGCACAAACATTAATAAGTGAAATAAATGAAGCACCATGTTATAATTTTCACCATTTGTTACAACTTGTATGCTGCGAAACGAAGAATCGGAGTGAATCTTAGTTTTTACGCTACTCTTAGCGTTAAGATCTGAACAAGTGTAAAACGAGAGTATGTGAATGTCAATAAAAAAATGTTGTTTAAAATTATTTAGTTTTCACTTACGTCCCTTCCGTTTCTTAATCATTGGTGATGAAGATTCAGTTTCACTGAAAAGCATTCTTTCAAGTATTTTTGACCCTGCAGCCATCACAATACGATGAGCCTCGAAATGCTACAATGAAATGCATGAATAGCGAATAACAAAAAATATAAATAAATATAAGGCTTTAAATTGGAAGACAATAAGAAAACTACCAAAAAAAAGTTAAACAAAATTTAAGCAGGAGATGAATCACAACCTTTCTGTAAATGAGCTTTTAAAAATGCTGATTAAATGTTCGTTCCCAGTAATGAGGCGTAAGGAAAGATGTTTAAGGTCGCAGAAAAATTGCTTGGAACAATTAACTTAAAATAGACACCTTAAAGAATGAAAGATTTTGCTTTGCTTCACTCATAACAAACTTCATTTTTGGTATTTTTTACGGAGTGGGGTAATAACTCCAATTCAAAAGCCTTTTATTCTCTATATCAGATTCTTTGCAAACATATCACCGGTGAAATTAAATACAGTGTCAAAAATTCATTAATTTTAAAACCAAGAATCAGGAACTTGTTATAAATGAAATGTAAGCTCATTTATAAAGCAACTCGAAGACATTACTTACTGCAGTATTTGACGCCGAACCAATCACGAAATCAACATCAAAACCGATGCCATTGACTTTAAGAGAAGTAACACGTTCTGCTAAGCCTGGTTCTCTTTTAATCACTTCCTTGATGGTTTCAATTTCCATTTTTTTCGATGATTCCTCAGGTACAGTCATATCATAAGCAGACAGTGGACGACTTGTAGGCGGTGGTGGAATTGACAGTTGCTGAATAGAATCTGCTCCTGGCGTAGAAGCAGTCGTCTGAGAAATCTCAAATTAATTTATAAACTCTTTTCTTTTCATATAAGAAAAGTTGAAATCATATTTTGTAAATTGTTTTCCTGGATATTTTTTCGACAGGTTAAATAATGACCACAGTTATATCCATTAGTCACTAGCACTACGATGACCTAATAGTGGCAACAAAGTGTTCCCCATTACCTGGAGACTGAAAATCAGTTTGAGGGTACGAATTCATAAAAACAGACGATCAATTATTCAAATACCATTTGAGTCATCGTCGTATTTCCAGCAGCCATGTATGAACTGCTATTCAGGTAAGTTCTACTCATTCCAGCTGATCCCGACATAGAGGGAGCTGCTCGGTTTGTTGGCAGCCCGGCTGCACGATTATAAGCTTGATTTCCGTTCGATGCAGTTCCTGCAGTTGATGATGGCGGTTGTGAGTAAGGTCGAGGTTGTTTTGGTCTTAATGATCTGAAACCAAAAACGAAACCTATATGGAATAAATCAAAAACTCCCACCTTCATTAGTTCTCTGCACGACTGTGCTTAAACAAGGGTGAAACACAAAGCAAGAATGAGAAATCAAACTAAGCACTCCTCAAAACATGCCATATTATTTTCGAAAGACCAAACTACTGACTATCTGAATGATATCTTACCAGTTAATCAATTCTGCATATATGAAACCTTTAAACCTTTAACACTATCCGTTTTGTTTGCTCCACATTATCCTTGAATTTACACTACTTATTCCAGAACTCCTAATTCAATACATCGAAATACGAATGTCCCTAACTTACCCATCGAATCCCATTTCAAAGTCGAAATTCTTCAAGTAGCGAATCCCTTCACCACTACTCTGAAAAGTGTTTAAAGAGAATTACTTAAGAATATGTATGGCGTTTATTTTCAAAGGCGAAAATTTCGGAATTTCTACTGGTCACAATCCGTAATTATGAACGAAAAAGTACGGAATGGATGACCTGTCTACTATGATTGTTCGAAACACATAATATGGACTAAGGAATGGTCAGAATGACCAACTCAAAGCGGCCGACATCACCAGTGTGTGATGAACTCATCGAAAGGCATCCCATCCCGTTTCAAAATCCCGAAAGAACTTCACAATCAATGAATAAAATAGGGCCGAGCCAACTCTTTCAGTATTTAATGGTTATTCAAATGCTGTTCTTGAGATGCAGGGCCAGAAGGCTTTGTGTTCGCCTAAGGATATCTTGTCTTTTACCTATTTCAGATCATGGCTGGGAACTTAGCTTCTGATTAATGAGATATCTTGCAATGGTGTAGTTACTACCACTGATATCTTCAAATTCAAATGAATAAATGTAAGCGCATCACCTCGTCCACGTATGGTACAGTTTGTGAACTCCTCTCTACTTTGCTTTACTCCAACATCAGTAATCTTTTCTCGAAATTAATTAGATTGTATTAATACATACTTTGATTTAATACTAGCAAAACAGCATTTCAGGATTACCGTCTGTTGTTGTCATTGGAAGGTGCTATTCTCGAAAACTATTAAGAATTATTGAAAAAAAAAAAACAATATTAAACATAAATAATGGTTGGAAGAATATCTTTTCTGGATGCAGAAAACTGCATTTCACTGAGCTGTCAACATAGCTTTCTGCATAATATCCCGTTATTATTTAGGAGATAAAGATCATACAGTGCTATGCAATATCTATATGTCCTAGAAAATGTTTGTTGTACTACTTTCATAAGGACGGAATTTTACTGTCCATTTTTTCTCATAGGAACTACATTCAATGATCAATCTCTCCATCCTAAAACATACGTTTCCTAAGACAATCGCTTGTTTTCAAAACAAATCATTCTAAGCTAAATTTTTGGTTTTTGTGTTTCCTGCCAAAATCTCTTGATTTTTGAAGATATCATATGAATGAATACAAATATGTCATATACACACACATACATATATCCGGAAGACAAACAAATAAAAAATATTAATTCTAAAAGGGATTCTTGAGAAAGAATTTTATTTGAAATAAGAGGAAAAATTACTTGAAATTCTTCGTCAACAAGAGAAGCAGCAGTTTCTGACGTATAACCACCATTGTTTGATATAAGGCATACTCTTCTAAAACAGCAAAAGCAAAGCATACGTTGCAAATATTTTGGCCATTTGGAATTTTGTGGCGCAAATGGTTCTTCATCTTTTAGTTTGAATACTGCTATATTTTGATGATTGATACAACGCACAAAATATGATCCTGAAATGAAATTATGATTACTGTAATAAGCTTATAAATCCTCTTAACATTTCAGCCCTTGAGGTAGGATAAATTAATTTGCTTCTCTCCCGGATATTGATCAAGACTTTCAGATTTTCTTGTTTCTTAATTAGAGAATCTCTCTTTAGCACAGTCGTAGGAAACTTCTCAAGTTTCGATATTTTCGGTTTCATGACTGTAACATATTCGATAGCGACAAAAATCTATGATACACCTACGATATACCATCTTTTTCACTTAAAACTATACACTTAAAAAGTTACTGAATAAATTGACTAGAAGTAAACTAAAATATCGCAAAGTGATCGGTCAGATTTACGAGAACTTTTCGTATCGTAAAAATTTGTTCAAAACTTTTTTTGTGTCAAACATTCTCATGAAATTAAAACTTTAAGTATACTATGATTAAGTCTCAAATTAATTGATCAATGAATAACAAATATGGTTTCTTGTAGGGATTACTTAAAAAATACTGGTAAACAAGTTATCGCAAAGAACTATTTCAATGCCAGTGTAACTTTTAACATTTGTCTGAAATCATATCATCAAATTTAACTTTACTTTTAGTTTCAAAATTCAACATTAGATTTATAAATATTCATCACAAAGAATTGCTTTGTTTTAGGTTTTTTTCAAATGCTATCAAGCAATTGTTTACATTTCCTAAAAAATATTTGTTTTCAAATTTCTGAACACTTGCAACTTATGGATTATTCGTAGAATTCAAAAATTGATAAATGTATCATAACAGATCCTTCTCTCTATTGTCTACAACTAAACAGAAAAATTATTAAAAACGATCAGTTATTTAGGATTGTCAAAAAAATATGCCTGTTTTTTTTGTCTTTAGAATAAAGAATTAAAGTCAACAAAGAAATATCAGTGACAAAAATATAATCGAAATAACGATAACGCAGAAATTTCATTCCAACACATTATCAGAAAAAGCGGATTACAATAGTTGTGCAAACATAATAATGATGTCTGCCAATAAATAATTGCAAGCTGATGAAGCATATAAGCATTATTTTCTTGTTATCATCAGTAGACGCTTAGATGAGCTTACAATCAAACATGATCTGGATTCTGTTCATCGCTTTCCTTCTTTCATTTTCTATCAGAAATAGGCAAAGTAAGTTATAATTTAAGTGAAAGATATAATTGCAATATATCTAAATTGTAGTACGAAGTTTTTCCACCTGTAATTACAAGTGAAAACTTTATACTACAATTACATTTATTATTACTTTTATTACATTTACTACAATTACATTTATTACATTTACTATACTTTATACTACAATTACAGTTACATCTGATATGTTTTCTTTGTACAACTTAGTATATCATTCATGTTAATTTAGGATATTACAGAACATATCAGAAACTGTAATATCTAAATAAATACATTTCAAGCTAGCATCTATGTCACAAAATTTTTACAATACATATGTGAGAAATTGAACTAAATTATTTAAAATTATAATGCATTCAACTTTTTTGATTCTTATATACAAATTGTATTATGCCATCAATTCCATTATCACTTATTACACTATCACATATCATGATATGATATGTTAAGAATGATAAAAATGATAAAATTATTTCATCTCCAATGTAAAAAACTCATAAATTGTTTATAAGTTTTCTATTTCATAACAGTGGCCGTTTTATGCACCTGTGTGGATCTGGCACCACCAAATCAACCATCTTCTTGTCCACAACTTACACATCTATGCAATGACTCGTTGTATCGTGAACTAATGAAGATGCAGTGTCCGAAAACATGTGGTCATTGTTCCGAAAATGTCACTTCCACTGTCACTTCCAGTAAGCATTTATATATCTTTCATTTTTAGATCAAAAAATTCACGTTGCAACACCTCAAAAGCTCATAAGTTTTTTACAACCAGATTTTCTGAACTAAAAATATCGCCATCATTCTGATTTGAACAAAAATTCAACTTTTATATGCAAGAATTTTAGGTACTTGCCAGGATAAGGCACCACCCAATGCACCATCCCAATGTCCCAACTTTATTCTTCTGTGCAATAATCCAATTTACCGAGATCTGATGATTCAAGAATGTCCAAAGACTTGTTCTCGTTGCTGAATGATATGCTGTGATAATAACAATACATTTAGAAACCGTTTAATGATCATCCGCTTTACAGTTAATTTTTAACTCATAAAAAAATTAATTACTATTGCCATCTATCCTATCATTTCAATATGCTTTGAATAAAAGACTTCATGTAATTCGGTAAGATAATATTATAAATAATATTGGACATTTCTTGTCAAATTTTTCTTGCAATTTTCTGCTTTGCTAAAAAATTAATGATAATAATTAATGATAAAAATTAATGATAATGTTGATAATACTTCAACTGCTTCATCAATATTTATCCGAGAATGACAAATAAACAACAAAATTGTAAAATTTCGGAAATCATGAAGCGAAATGAAATTTATGCAGTGATGAAATTCAAAAAAGAAATTGCAGTATAACAAACATGTTGAAATTTAAAACAATGTTTGTAGATTTGGTATCAGTAGAAATGTTTTTCTGAAACTGTATTTGGTCACTTAATTTCTCCATATCAATTTAGGTTATGAAAAAGATATTTTCTTGCTTGAAGCTATGACAGCTGTTACACTTCATATGCTTTTTCAACCTTCATATACACTTCATATACTTTTTTAACATTTTCAAATTTTGTGTAAATAATGCATGGATCAATTACAACATGGAAAGAATTGATCGTATTCCGAATCTTAGCATATTCGTTGTATTATGATTAGCGATTCATTGTATCATGATCTGATTTTGCATACAATGGTATCTTTCATAATATTTTAAGTACTGTTCAGCTATCAGATCATAATACAACAAATTGTTAATATCATTTTTGTATGCGAAATCATACGTTTCTTTTAAATGAAATGAAAAGGGTAGGATTTTAAAGCTTTTCCTGAGGCATTTTAAGGCCTTTAAGGCTTTGAGAAATTTTGTTTACAATTGAAAATTAATCGAATATGCAATGCTGCGAATTTTGTTCATAGCATTACAATCCGTTAGAATATTATTTCATCATTGCTGATAACTTCATTGTTCATAGAGATTAGATTGGTGAAGAAGTAAAGAAATGATAAAATATGATGACTTAATGTTTATTTCATCATTATTTTCTTACAATATCTATAATAAGCACTATCACCATAATCAAGATCGCCAATCTCGATAACTAATCATTATGATCTCTTTTCCAATCTCGATAACTTTAGAATCACTATGATCTCTTTTCCAATCTCGATAACTTTATGAATCAGAATAGAATTGAAAAATTGCTCTGAAGTTATTTTCATGTTATGAAAGCGAAATTTGCATATAGCTTTTTGATTAAAAGGACTTCAACGACAAACTGATAACAAATTGATTTTTCTTTTTTGAAGGAAATTTAACAAATACTGATGAAAAAATACATTGAATTTCTTAATGCAAATGCTTTCATAAAATTTATTTTAGAATTTTCAATTTCAATTTATAATTTGAAATAATTTTATTACCAAAAACTGCCACATAAATTAACGGCTGTCATCAACTTTTAATTTTTTCCATCCATTTTTCTATGATACACCGAAAATTCAGAAGATAAAATGATGGGAATTTGTTAATTTCTTCCTTAAAATCGATTAGTTTTTTTTTCGCAAACAATTTGCTCTTTGACCCTTTTGCAAGTTGCCATTTAAAGAAATAACATACAGGAAAAAATGAACAACTAACGGTTGGTAACAAGAATCATGACGATTTTGTATTTGTGAGATCCAATAAATTATAATTATCACATTATCAATATTATAACATCTTCGATTTAATCTTTTCATATCAGTTATCTAAGTCCAGAAATCTTTTATGAATTTCATGAAAATTTCTGAACTTTTAAAATTTATACTAATATTCAAAATTATCACATATCACAACGCCTTTCAATACAAATTATATTTACATAGAATGCTTTCAAAAATCAATCAAACTTATGAAATCTTACTTGTTATCATAGCCATTATCTTCCAAGGTGATTAATTATCACTTATCAATGTTAAAGATCAAAGAATAAGCAATGTATTCTCTTTTCAAGTATAAATTTAATTGATAGAATAAAATTAAAACCAAAGTTTGATGTACTTCATTCTTGAATTGTTCAATTTATTAAGTATTATGTGCAATAAAATGAAGTATAAGTGTAATTTGATAAATGCTTAATGTTATCATGAATTTTATATTACGTATCATTGATAAGTGATAAGCAATATTGAACAAAAAGCAAAAAGAGCGTTTTGTCCTTCTCATTTCACCGCAATGATAGAATGACATTCAGTAAAGATACTATCCATACCGCTTAAAATGAACAAATATACTTTAGATATAGTATATTATATTGCTATGACGTTGAAAAAACATAACAATATTCGCACGTACGTAACTTATACTATTTAATAACTTATAACTTATACTATATAACTTATACCAACTTATAACATATACTATTTTTTATTATTCATATAATGCACGTATTATTTTCAACGTTTTTACATCATTATTTGACATCCATTAATACATCAACTAACAAATGATAATAAACACTCCTTAATGGTAACGTGAAATTAATGATATCATGAAAATTAATAGAATGATGAATTCTCTTCTGAGATAACTGCGCAATATCATTGTGATCAATGATAATTCTTACACATTTTCCTACCCTATTTTTTACACCTCTTAAGGAATGTTTGAGGTAAATTTATAAAAATTATTATTAGTTAAAGATTCAGCAGGTCGAATTGATGATGGTTGTCGTAATCGTACCTCAATTGTTGGTGCCAATAATGATACAAGATATGCTTGTGTTCGACTAAAAATGAAAGGAAATATCTGAGATGAAAAGAAACTTGCAAATTGATTCAATCATCAAATATAGTAAAAAATTTTTGAGAAAATTTAAAAAATTTTTTTGATAAATTTTTGTATCGAAAATTTCAATTGAAAATTACATGTTGAAATTTGTTGCATTTTTGATTACTTTGATTGGCGAAATATTTCTTAAAATATTATTAACTATTACTAACTGATAATACTATTAACTAGCTGATAATATAATATTACTCAGTGATACATTGAAAACTTTAAAAATTCATTCAACCACATTGAAAGTTTTTTTGAAAACCAAATATTTTGAAATTCAAATTTTAATTTTAAATCTTTACATACCCGCTAGCTAACATAACATTGCCAAATGAAGGAGAAAATCCCAATCGCTCATCGTCAATATTCTTAATTAAATGTTGACAACGATCTTCGGCAGAACTCAATGATGTTGACAATTCCACCGATGATCGATATCGACATTCAGTGCTACTACGTGAAGGACAATTTATAGCGCCATTGTTCATGTAGAAATTAACATGTAACACGCCAACTGGATGAAATGAGCGCTTTGATACGCCAAATAAAATATTGGTATTGAAATCACGAGATCGTAGCTATAATATATCATAATTTATAATTTAATTATTTAATTTACATAATTTACAATTTACAATTTAATAATAATTTAATAATTTACAACTTAATAATTTAATTTACAACTATTTAATTAATTATTTATTATTTTTTGATATTCAACATTAATTATTACTTTTTACTATCATTTGATTACTATTTAATTTACTAAGCTATAATTTACAACCAATTTAAATATAATTGAAATTAAACAAATTCACTGAACATAAAGCTTTTTAGCAAAGCCAATGTTTCATAGCTCCAAATTGACATACAAAAACCGTAAGAAAAGACTAAAATATTTTACGAAAAATATACACCGATAAAATTGCAATTTGAAAAAGAAACGTTACAGCTCAGAAGCACTGTGAGTTAATTGAAGAGTAATTAAAATTTAGGAATGGATCGATTTAATGTGATGCAAAGATCAATATGTTGAAACGCCATAGTCGTACAATTATTGCATCAGTTCAATAAAAGCTTTTCCTTGCCCCAAACAATATTTCAATTTATTTCACTTTAAAAATCGTCATTTGTATAAGACAAGGATTCTCTAGCAGCTAAATCAATAGTATCAAATAAATATTCCAACCTGAGTTTTATTAAAATTATATCTGATAGTTAATCGCAAGCAATTTTATCTGTACTGATTCATTGAGCGGTATTTCGATCGATGGAATTTTAAAATTCCAAAAAAGGGAATATGAGTTCTTTCAAATATAAAAATAAAATTTATATTGATAGCACAAACCTTCAAATTTACTTTACCATCAGAAACCAAATGTGAATAGAAAACATCCGCTTCACCGATCACATCACCGTTTGCGGCATTTTGAAGTGTAAAATAAATGACCCTAAATTGTTATTAATTTATCTTCCATTTTTACATATGCTAATTTTATCAATCATTCATTTTAGTAATATAATTTTCCGGACAAAAGATTATATTACTCGTCATAAATGTGATGGATAGTTTTAGATGAATTATCATGAGGTCAATACCTGTCAACCAGAGTTCAATGAATGAGGTCAATAAATGATTCTAAAAATGAAAGATACTATCATACAACAAATAATAAAGAAACATTTATGTTCTACATACGTTTTACTTATCAAGTAAAGTATTGAGATATAAGTTAATTATAAAATAATAAGAATTGCCTACCTATCCTCAATTCCATTCAGTAGTAACCTTTCACATGGAATAATAATTTCCGGAAATTTATGCAAACTTGTTGAGGTGATTTCAATCCTTTTTGGAGATCGATAAATGATAATGTTGTCTTCTTTTAAACTTTTCCTCAAAATTACAAAATCATATAAAAGGCCCAGTTAGGCCTGGTTTCTACTTTAAAAAAAGGCAATTTAACAAGGAAAACTGTAATCTTGATGATTTTAAAAAGAAAGGAAGAAATTTATTCTATTCATTTTACAGAGATCAAAAAAGATTCTGAATCTCTCTTAAAAAATAATTTTAATCGTTAAAAAGTGCAACTCAGACAAAAGAATAAAAGTAGCCTTATTAAATTAAAAATAGCAAATTAATTCAAAAACAAGAGATTATTAAAGTTCATAAAAACTAAATTTCTATTTTAATAATTAGTTATGATTGAAAATTAAAATAGTATTCGGTAAAAATGCTTACCTATGAATGGCGAGATAAATTTCTAAATCAGTATATTTCATTTTACCACGTTTTTCAAATTGTGAAATTGAAATTTCCATACAAATTTGTTTCTCCGAAAAAGCACGATCAATTGGTACTCGTTCTGATATCACTAAATATTTGGAAAGAAAAATAAGGATTGAAAATAACAAATTTAAAATGATCAATTATTGATTCAATTGAAGGTGTCAGTTTTCTGATGAAAGAAATTAAACGGATAAATGTTAAATAGAAACAATTTTAAAAATGAATAATGAAAATGTAAATACCTGTGAATTTACCGGATGATCCTTCTCGAATTCTTCCATCTTCCTCCTCCGATAATCGTCCACGATGTATCACAGCATTTAATTCACACTCTAAAGAATCAACAAAATTCCAGAATAAAAGTTCACTGGAACTACGAAAACGTACAATAGTATCAGAATATCGTCTTGAATCTGAACTAGCTGATGATGATGACATTGGTTTCTCAGCACAGAATCTGCAAGAAAAGAAAGTTCTTGAAGATGTATACTTTCAACACTCTCTTCATCTCATCCGATAAAAAATAGAACTTATCACTATTATTGATTACCACGGAGAAATAACTTATGATTAATATTGATTATGACGATCTCAAAAATCATATAATTTTTTTGCTAAGTAAGAATCACTTTTCGGGATATCTCTTCAGTAGAAATCTCGGAAGTAATCTGGTGCAAGAAAAGAAAATTATGATAGAGTCGTATTTCTTAGACAGATGTGTTTATTAATTTGGCACTACAGTGTGTACTCATATATAGAAGATTAGCATGCAAAAAGCGCCCAGCATATACATTTTAATTTTAATGATTGAAGAAAATGTAACATCAAAGAGTGATAAGATATCAAAGAGTGAAAAGTAAGTTTGTAAATATTAAATGATAATAATTAACACAATAATTAAAAAGTTGACAACCACTATCCATTAATATTCCAATGCACTTTCAAAGCATAATTTCAAAACTTTATTTATAAGCTATTTAAATTAAAAAAAAAAATGCTTACAGTTCAAAACGAATTGTAATATCATCATCGTAATTGTAACGGATTGGTATCGGATTAACGAATTCAATTAGCTCATCTCGTCGACCAATTGTTTCAACACTTTCGGTATTTCCAGTTGCCGAACTACTAACAGCAATCTGTTCATCATCATTCAAACATCCTTTTATCGCTGTCCATTTACAATAATACAATTTGTTAAATGTTTTCTGAAATGATAAAAATTACAAAGGAAAGAATAGCTAACTGATTACAAATGATAAGATAATATTATGTGATATTTTTAATTTTAGCAATTTAATTTATTTTCTAAGGTAAATGATAAAAATCACAAAAAAAGGAATAGCTAACTGATTACAAATGATAAGATAATATTATATAATACTTCTAATTTCAGTAATTTAACTTATCTTCTAAGATAAATGATAAAAATTACAAAAATAGAATAGCTTAACTGATTACAAATGATAAGATAATATTATATAATACTTCTAATTTCAGTAATTTAACTTCTAGGATAAATGATAAAAATTACAAAAATAGAATAGCTTAACTGATTACAAGTGATAAGATAATATTATATGATAATACTAATTTCGGTAATTTAGTTTAAGATAAATATTAATTACAATCGAATTAATTACCTTACAACAGCTTCCATGAAATTGATAGCAAATATGCAAACTGTATTCATTTATTACATCCATTCGTTAATTCGTTATCCTATCACCACAGAGATTTATCATTTCTCATCCAATTCTAGCTGTATCTTTTCATCCTTAACATCATTTCACCTTTTTTAGATTTACAACAAAAAAATATATGCGAAGAAAAATTGCGGTAAAAAAAGAAAAGAAATTGAAATTGAAATTTAGCTTCAAATGATTGAATGAATATCTTTCATCATTTACCGCACTATACAACACACACACACACACACACACACACACACACACACACACACACACACATACACACACATACACATATGGTGAACATATTTATTATGATTATAAGAGAGATGAACATCTTCTATTACTTCTTTAAAATTTCCACTCCACAATTTTTCCCTTTTCTTTCTCTATCGTCTTTTCCTCCTCCTTTTCCTTTTCTTCCTCCTCCTCCTTTTCCTTTTCCTTCTCCTTCTCCTTCTCCTTTTCTTCCTCCTTCTTCTCCTTCTTCTCCTTTTCATTCTCTTTCATCTTTTCACTTGTAATATTAAATTTCATTATCAATCACAAATATCAATTCCTTTTCTATTTTCATATCATTATAAAATATACATGAAACAATCATTTTCATCGTATATAATTTTGGAAAATAATTTATCATATAAATAGAAATTTTTGGATTTTTTAATTTTTGAATTTATTGATTTTTGGATTTTTAAATTTTAGGATTTTTCAATTTTTGGATTTTTATAAATTTTAGGTTTTATTAATTTTAGGATTTTTTCAAACTTTTGGATTTATTAGTTTTCGGATTTACTAAAAAAAGTTTTGTTCGAATTATGTTTATTCAAATGCTAACAATTTTTAAATTTCTGCTTCAAAAAATTCACACATAATTTGATAGTAATGCTAATTGATTAATTAGCATTTGAATTGTATTTCTTTTCTTATTCAATTCATAGATTTTATTTTCAATTTTTTTCATTCTAAGAAACTATTTAAAATTACGAATAGATAAGATGAAATCTTTGTAAACAAAATGATTTCAGTTTTTAGGCAAAGAAATTTTTGGTCATTTCAAAATTGAAATTTTGGATTATTTCAAAATTGAAATTTTAAATCATTTCAAAATCGACGCTTAATGGCTTCAGAGAATAACTTTAGAGAGAGAGAAAGAAAATTTAGAATAAATTTGGCGAAGTGTTAAAATAAATGAAGAAGAAGAAAAGAGGATGAAATATATGAATTGATTTTGAAAAGCTAACAAACCTATGGAATGATAGAGAGCATCGATGAGAATTCTTAAATTATATAATTTCATATAATTTGAAATTTATATAATTCAAACTATATAATTTGAAAATTGCTACTATTCATTTAATGGTAAAACAATTGAAAAAATTATTTGTTTAATTTAGATATTAATTAATTCTTAACCTTTACTTCAAAAATTGAATTTGAATTTTGAAAATTTTACCTTAAATTATATAATTTATTAATTTTATAGCATTAGATATTAATTAATTTTTATTTAAATATTAATTAATATTAATATTTTAATTAAAAGCAAAATAATTTCCTTCAAATTATCAAATTGGTTAATAAAATTTTTTCAGATGAAAAATTTTACATTTTAGCGAAATGTAAAATCAATTTTATGAAAGGTAATTTTTTTTTTTTTTGTACAGGTGAGAAAGAAGAAATGAAACTTCGAAGGTTATTAAGATATTAATGAGAAGGAGACTTCTTATTTCCACTTTTTCAAAATGACCAAAAAAAGAAAGGAGGACAAATGGACAAGAAAAAGTGGACGATAGGGGAAAATAAAAGTGATCACCGAAATTTGACACTTATAAATATATAATTTTATGAGAGAGAGAGAGAGAGAGAGAAAGAGAGAGAGAGAGGGAATAATTGACGATGCGATAAGCGATGATCGATGTAATTTTATATTTGAATTATTGAGTGAAAATTTTTAAAAGGATAATTTATAAAATAACCTTCGATTGATTTTACTATGCCTCTCTTCTACGACAACATATTAGTTGTATATGAAAATAAATTTCAAACTATTTGCTCTAATAAAAGGCAATAAATTAAAAAGCCTGATGATGAGTGAAAATTTGAGTAGAAGTGGAACAAATTCATATTTCGAAGCGAAAATGACCATTACACGAATAGCAATTGATGGACAATCAATGAAATTATAAATGGTCATCGTTATGAAAATCCTCTACATCATTTATAAATTAAATTAAACTGTACTATCAGGGAATTTTTCATCTAAAGAGGTAAATTTTAGAATTGAAATTTTTTACTTTATATTATGCGAATTTTAATTAATGAATTAAAGATTAGAATACATATCAATCAGTTTTATTGTTATTAAATCTTCATTATTTTAATTATATTAATTGTATTAAAAAAAGGAGCTGAAAATTAAAATTTAAATTAAGAATTAAAGGTAATAATGTTTAGTATAATACATATCAATTAGTTTTATTGTTATTAAATCTTTATTATTTTAATTATATTAATTATATTATTTTAATTATATTAATTATTTAAAAAAAAGGAATTGGAAATTAAAGTTAAAATTTAGAAGTAAAGATAATAATATTAAGTATAATACATGTCAATTAGTTTTATTGTTCTGAAATCTTTATTATTATAATTATATTAATTACATTAAAAAAAAAGGAATTGAAAATTAAAATTTAAATTTAGTAAAGATAATAATGATAATAAAGTAAATGATAATAAAGTAAAGATGATAATATTAAGTATAATGCATATCAATCAGTTTTATTGTTGTGAATTCTTTATTATTTTAATTATATTAATTATGTTATTTTAATTATATTAATTATATTAAAAAAAGGAATTGAAATTAAAATTTAAATTTAGAAGTAAGGTTAATAATATAAAGTATAGTGCATATCAATCAGTTTTATTGCTGTTAAATCTTCATTATTTTAATTATATTAATTATATTACTTTAATTATGTTAATTATTCAAAAAAAGGAATTGAAAATTATAATTAAAATTGAAAAAAAATTAAACAAAAATTTAATAAATTATTCTTCTGATTTTGAATAGATAATTATATTAAAGCCTAAAAGCACACCTTTAAGGTGCATTTTCAAATTCAAATTAATTACCTTGAAATTATACAATTACTATGCGACAATTAAAGTTTAATTTATAAAGGAAAATAGTAATTTATATTAATCGATAAATATATTTTTAGAAAATAAATTATAATTAATTTGAGAAAAGCATTAAATGAAATGTAAAATTTTACAGAGACTTATTTGGAAATGAATTAATTTTTGTTTCAAAAATTTTTTAAATTTATTTAATTGATTTTAATTAATATAAATTAATTAAAAATAAAACTGTCACAAATTATTGATTATATTTTCTCACTAAAAAAAAGAACATATCATCAAAGGTGTCTTTTAATTCTTAGCTTAAAGCAAACATTCATAAGCATTTAATAACTGATAACAGAACTTGTAAAGCGTTAAAAAGATTTATGTCACATTAGCAAATTAGAAATTGAAATTATAATTAAATTTAAATTTAAAATCAAAAAACTAAAACTGTTAGAAATGGAATAACAATAATTCAAATTAAAACATATTAACAAATTAGAAATTGAAATCATAATTAAATTTAAATTTGAAATCGAAAAACTAGAAATATTGGAAATGAAATAAATATAATATCAAAAATATTTTGTTAATTTCTTTCAACTGATTTTGATATATTAATCCATTTCTATAACTGAATTGTATAATTCGCATATTTGGAATAATTAGACCTATATGAATAAAAAATTAAAATTTTTTAAATCACAGAAATATGGCCTACATATATGTCAGATCCTACATATATCATATATCAGATGAAAAAAATTCTAACGTAAAATAATTCCAATAATCTTTTTCACATCTAAAAATAGCATATGACAAATCTATTAATCATTTATAATGAATCGATGATAAACTTTAAAATGGCTTCAAATAATATGTCTAAAATCTTTAGACAAAATTTCTACTAGTATCGTCATATCAGTTGGCGAATTTTTTACAATTCAACGCTTTTCAACGATCTCTTTACTTTCTCTCTCTCTCTCTCTCTTTATATATATATCTGTATTTTGCCTTCTTCTACAGATAGGAGAGAACTTTTTCCAAGTTAGAAAGTATTGTTGTTTGCACTCTTCGTTCACGAGTAAGTTTCTCAAATATCGAAAGTTTTATTTAGTGACAGAAGGAAAA